GTAAGGCGGCTCCTGGGAGTCTCTCAGTCCTGTTAGTCCAGAGCCGTTTCACTTCTCCGGGCCCTCCCCCGCTTCCTCCTGCCAGCCAGCCAGCCAGGTCCTGTTCACCGGAGGCGGTTCCCCAAAGATCTGGTTACACTTGCAGCCCCACCGTGTGTCCTATTTCCCGAACGACTGAGCACTCTGTCTGTCATTCATCTAAGCCCCAGTGCTGTGGTGTGGTGATCTGGGGACCAACAGTTTAATTTTTCCGGACCCCTTTTGTGGACATGCCCCTGGAAACTGGCAGCTAAGACCTTGGGTGTCGCCGCTGGTGGTAAGGGGAGTTGGGGATCGGGAATCCCCTCTGCTTCCCTACAGACACGCCCCCGGAGAGATTCCCGAGGTTTCCTGGCTGCTTGTATCTGGAGGGGGTGGGAGTCACACACCTGCTAAAGTGGATTCTGCTGGGAAGGAATTCCGTCGGCCGACCTCCAGTGACGTCACCTCTCTGCTATGGCAGGCCCCAGGCTCCTTGCCCGAGTGTCCGAAGGGAGGGGTGGGACTGGTAAGTCTCTGGTTGGTTTCAATTCCCAGTTGGCTACTTCATGAAGGCCTGGATAGAGACCTCTTCCTAGAGTCCCTGCGCCGCTCCTGCTGAGCCACGCCTCAGAGGCTAGCTGCCCAGTCGCAGGGGCCGCGGGCAGGCAGCCGACGGCCGAGTTGCGCGGGCATCGGCTGGCGGGTCCGGACTTCCGCGGGTTCTTTAGCACTGAGCCAGAGCAGTTTGTGAGATGCGGGCGAACGGGAGCCTGAATTCGGCCCCTACGGGCTCCGTGTGTGTTCTGAGAGGCCCAGACTGTTCGCCCCAGATCCACATTAGCTCAGCAATGCCTAGTGATCTTGAGCAAACAGCATTTAGACGATTTAAGACTCCCTATGCCCGCGCAGCTGGAGAGGTCAGAGACTTGATACCTCCGTGCCTGCCGCCATGTTGGATCTCCTGTACCATGTTTTACATTGCTCTCAGTATACTAGTTTTCATACAAATCCTGTTCACACAAGTGGTAATTCCGCCGCTGCACTCCCACACTCTCCCCCTTTTTTTTGAGGCTATTGTGAATGGGATAGTTTTCCTAATTTCTCTTTCAACTGATTCATCATTGGAATATAGGAACACAATTGGTTTGTGGATATTAATTTTATATCCTACTTCTTTGCTGAATTCATTTTTGAGTTCCAGAATCTTTCTGAATACCTTGATTTTAAACCAGCAAGATCTGCGTCAGTCTTCTGATCTCTAGAATTGTAAGATAATAAATCAATTTTGTTTTGAGCCATTAAGTTTGTGGCAATTTTTTTAAGCAGGGAAAAAATAGAGAAGATAGTGTCTCAAAGGTCACTGAGCTATCCAGTATATCTCATTAGCATATTATAACTCAAAATACAGGCTCAGAATCCCTGCTCCAAAAATCTGAAATCCAAAATGCTGTGCAGAATCCAAAACTTTTTGTGAATCAACATGATGCCACAAGTGGAAACTTTTATTCCTGATCTCATGTGATGGGTATAAGTCAAAACCAGGTCCACTCAAAATATTGTATAAAATTACCTTAAGGCTGTGTGAATAAGGTGTATGGGAAACAAATGAATTTTATGTTTGGACTTGGATCCAATATCTAAGATGTCTCGTGATTTATATGCAAATATTCCAAAATCCCAAACAATCAGGAATCTGAACTACTTCTGGTTCCAGCAGTTTGGATAGGGATACTCACCCTGTTAGGCACAGGAACCAAGTCACTTGGACAGAAAGGGAGGAAATTCCATTCTAACTCCTTCAGAGTGATAGGGAAAGACAGCCCAAATTAGAGAAGTGTTAACTATGCCTTCCTAAAGAATTACAGTTTCATGGCTCTTAAGAAGAAGTCAAACTTGAAATCAAACTTGCTCACTCAAACTTGTCTAGTAAATGTTGCCATTAAAGGTTTTAGGAGACACAAGTGAAAACAATAATATTTACGTTGAAATTATAATATAATTGCTATGATCCCTTTCTTTAATTACAGGATTTGGAATGGATGCAATTTTGTTGTAATGTTCAGTTGAGTGATGTTGTGCAAGGGTTGTAGACGGGACTCCCACAACCATTCAGGTGAAATGGTTTCTTTCAGCCACCCAAAAAGAAAAAAATAAGATAAAAAAGATAGGGGTGGGGCAGTTTACAGAGCCATTTTCTTCCCAAGCCTCTATGGGGTATTTGTCGAGAACAGGAGCCAAAAAAGTCTAGCTGAAAAACAGCTAAAGTAAACTGCAGAACTGCAGTCTGTGCAAGCTCCAGCGTGACCCTCCTGTATCTCAGGTGCGAAGGGCACCATCAGCAGAAGCACTGTGGGTACCAGTTGCTGCACACAGCTGGAAACTGGTCTCCTCTTGTGTTTCGTCTTTGGCTGCCTGGGACATGGGAAACACTTCTCTTGTTTGCTTTTCCCCCACTTACAACCCACTTCTAGCCACTCATTGCAGTTACCTGTTTCTTTTTAATTGTGATGAAATGCAGATAACTAAAGTTAACATCTTAACCATTTTTAAGTCTATGGCACTGTGGTGTAGACTGTAGGCATATACTATGCAGCCATCACCACTGTCCACCTCTAGAATTTCTTTTCTCTCTCTAAACTAAAATGCTGCACCCATTAAACAGAAAACCCTCCTCACCTCACCCAGCCCCTGGCACCCACCATTCTTTCTACTTTTTCCTCTCTCCAGGTTCCTTGATTAGGTGGGATCATGTGGCATTTGTCCTTTGGTCACATCAAATTTGTGTGGGTGGAATCGTGTCATTTGGCTTATTTCCCTTAGCATACCATCTTCAAAGTCTGCCCGTGCCGTAGCTGGCATCAACATACCCTTCCTTCCTTCCACTTTGCCCTTGGACTCTCTTTCCCCTCAGATGTGATTATCCGAGTCACTGATGGGGCAGAAGGTATAGGAGGTATCCAAGGGAGGGCTGCTAAGCCTCGCCCAGCAATTCCTCCATCACCCTGTGTGTCTCATATGGGACCTGCCTGTGACAGGGAGTCACTGGCCACATGCACTACAGCACAGGCCCTGGCCATGAGCCCAGCCATGGAAGTGCATCCTGTGGCCAGCGGTGTGCACTCCCAGGGCAGGTGACATTCCCATGGGTAGGACATAAAGGTCCTACTTCTAAGGCTTATCCTAGGAAGCACAGGACATGCAGATGACAGGAGCAAATTCAAAGCTTCTTTTACACTTAGAGTCAACACAATAGCACCCATGTCTCACCTTGAAGCCTGACGTTTATATTCTCAAAATTCAACTACAAACGTGTAAGACAAAAGTGATCTGACTGGGGAGGTGGGGGGGCGGTTATGAGATGCAAAAGTAAGTAGGCAGGTGGGACAGAGGTAACAGGGGTAACCTGGCTGCTTAGAAACAGAAATAGGGCAAAGGTGGGTGGCACTGATAAAGACAGCATCTCCATTTAAAGAGGTCATCTCCTCTCCTGGTGCTGTCAGACCAAACCTGGGCCATTCTGTTCATTTTAAAATAGCAGCGACCGATTAGAAAATTACAATTAGGATGGAGAGATTGAGAATCCATCTTAATCTGAAGACCAGAACAAGGAGAAAGGTGTAGGAGTCACTTCAATTCTTTTTGTGTTGAGATGGAAGACTTGCGTGCTGCCCTGGGAGTTCACCATCGCCTACCCAGGAGACAGTGGCAGCAATCCTCACTAAAGTTCTGGAGCTAATGTGTGCCATGCAGTTTATGGCAGTATGTCACTTGTACTCACCACCACACCCCACAGTAGGCACTGTCGTCTCTGTCCCTCCCACTTACTGGTGGGTCCGAGGAACTTCAAGAGCTGGAACTAGAGAGGAAGGGCCAGTTGGCACCACCCAGTGCCCACCCAAAGGCCCCAGAAGGTGCTCAGCTGTTTCTAAAGGGTACAGTGGCACAGTGTGATGGCATGGCATGATCAGGTTTGTTTTTTGGTAGAACCAGGGCTACTTTTTCTGATGAAAAGGAATAGAATATCTGTCCATATGCGCCATCTGTGGTTCCAGGCACTTTTGCCAAGTGCTGAGCTCCCAGGAGCTAGAAGTATTTGAGGAAGGGAAAAGCTTAGCTCATCAGAGGACCAAGAAGGAGAGAGTCCTTTAGTGTCCCCAAAAGAAATTCCCAAACTTTTCAATTTTTCAACACCCTGAAGCTGACAGAGGTATAGACCCCAGATCATTGAAGCATTGGGCAGATAGATGAAGTTTTAGAAGAATGCTTTAAAGTGCTGACCTCAGTAGTCACCTTCTCTATGGCTACCCGCTGCCATCCTCAAGATGGCATCCTCAAAGACCCACTTTGGAGGTTCCAGAGTCCCTAAGGCAGTGAGAACCTTATTCTGGTGGATTCATGCAGAGAGACTGAAAAGTCCTTTGTCAAAGATTGTATCAGTTAGCAAGTACTGCAGTAACAAACATCTCCAAGGTCACAGTACCTTAGAATAGTGTCCTGTTATAATGGCAGAGGGCAAGAAACAGAATCAGAGCCAAACTTAATGACCACATTCAAAGCAGGAGTTTTGTGGCCAGTACTTGCCCACTCCCACCCCATTGAATAAAACATGTTCCATGATCCTTCTGGGAAGTCTCTCCATGGTGTGGAGGGAGATAGCCTCTCTCCCCTATTACACACCCCCTGTTTTAGTCAGCTTCTCACTGCTATGACTGGAGGACCTGACCAGAACAATTGAAAAGGAGGAAAGATTTATTCAAGGGCTCACAGTTTCAGAGGTCTTAGTCCAGAGAAGGCCAGCTCCAATCCTGGGGCTTAAGGTGAGGCAGAACATCTATCAGGGTATTAATTCACTTATTGGGTTAAGACTCTCACAGCCCAAGCATTTCTCCTCTGAACCTTCTTGCACTGTCTCTCGTGAGCTTTCGGGGGACACCTCACATCCAAACCATAACACTCCCTGTCTTTTCCCCCCTGGCCAGGTGGGTGGCAGGCCCATGGAGCCCCTGCTCAGCCACCTGTGAGAAGGGCATCCAGCATCGGGAGGTGACCTGTGTATTCCAGCTACAGAATGGCACACATGTCACCACACGGCCCCTCTACTGCCCAAGCCCCCGACCAACACCAGTGCAGAGCTGCGAAGGCCAGGACTGCCTGTCCATCTGGGAGGCATCAGAGTGGTCACAGGTGAGGGACTGCACTTGTGGCTGGGACTGAAACCACCACAAGAGCCTCCGGGCCTCGTCCACAGGATGTAGTGTGGTACTTTTCTCTTCGTGGTGTTTGTGATACATCTCCAGGTGTCATGGTCTTTATCTGCTCCAGAGAAGCTCCAAGCTGTGTTCTAGCCCATATATTCTTAAATTCCATTTGAGATAACAACATGGCTTCAAGAAAACATGGACAACATGTTTGTGATGATGCACATGGCATCACAGTGAAAGTACTATTTGTTTCATTTCTTATGACAATTCCCACCTAAAGATAAATAAATAGACACACACACGCACACACACCCCAATTGACCTTTTAATTCTCCTTTGGGCGTGTTTGAGCTCTAGTGTGGTCAAGTTGGGAAGCTGGTTTCAAAGACTTTCCTTTCATGCCACAGCAGTTTTGTAGATTGTGAGAGTTAGATGCTGGGAGGGACAGCTTTTGGTATGCAAGTTGGAGTTACAAATCTCACACCATAAAACATTTTGGAAAGAGGTCAATTAAGCCTTAAGTTTTCACTTTGAAAGTTGGTCCTGGAAATTCCATTTTATCTTTAAGGATGTCATCTTGCAAAGCTTTGCATTGACTTTGCCTTAATGCTTTTGATTGTTTGGCTGTAAAACAAACAAAAAATAGCTAAATAAAGGGCAACCTTCCCTCAGGTCTTCCACCAAAAGTGGTCTATGAAATTCAAAGAGGCTAGATCCAAGACAGTCTTCAGTGTGGAAAATATTTTTAAAGTTCCTTTGATTGCCAAACAGTCGGAATTTATTTTGAATAAAAAAGTATTCAGCCCATTTTTAATGAAGGAGAAGTCTACCATTGGCTGCTCTAAAACTGAGTTTAATCTTCAGACCAATCTTGAAATATACTCATTTAAAGACCTTTGCCCTTAACCCCTACTTTATAATATTTTAGGAAAAAGAGCTTAATTTTTTTCTTTATATATACTTAGGTTTGTAAAGTTAACATCAAGAAAAATTTTCTTTGTTGGCCCTATTGGGGATTATATTCTACCACTGAGCTACATTCCCAACCCTTTTCAGAATTATGAGATAGGATCTTGCTAAGTTGCCCAGGTTGGCTTCAAACTTGCAATCCTCCTGCCTCAGCCTCTCAAGCAGCTAGGATTACAGGTGTGAGCCACCATGCCTGGCTGGAAATTTTTTTTTTCATATTTGCTGCCAGGATGTAGACAGGCACACAGCCACAGTTCCTTTCCCCAACCCCAGATGAGCCTTAGGGCTTTGACCACCCAGCTCCTAATTCAAGCAAAATTTATGCTTTAATCTGATTGATAAGACTCTGAGTGGAAGATTTATTTTAATCTTATGTGGGGAAAAAGGCCTCTTTACCAAAAGAACCAAGCCTGGAGTTATCAGTTATTAAAGCACTGAAGACCACCATATCTGGGAAAGGTGAGACAACTAGAGCAAGGCTTAAAGGAATTTCTTTATGATCATCTCTACATTAATGCCCCATCCTAATCCTGCACTAGTGTCTGCACCAATCCATCTCATTCTGGCCCAGCCCCATGCAAGCAAAATGCTGCTTTCTTAACATGTGACGTGGAATCACATCCTTCCTCCACAAGTTCCTTATGATGCTGGTATTTCTGCCCCTTCACTGTGGGGTGAAGCCCCTCCAGCCCTGGCCAGAAGCTGGCTTTCATTTCTTGTGGGAGAGTTTTTATTGACATGATGGCTCTTATTCAACCACCTTCATTGATCACCCTTACTAAATACTCCCTCCCCCAGCTCCTTCCCATCCTCATTTGGAGAATCAGATTTGCAGAAGGATGTCAAAGGTAATAAATGGATTCCTCCTATCTTCAGTTTCTAGGCTCCATCCTCAATGGGAAGCAGAAAGAGAGGCTGAGCTTCACCCTCCTAGGTCCCTTTAGAGGTGGCATCCGCCTACCTCACTGTCCTTCCACCAGGCCAGAGGCCCCCCAGGGAGTGGGATATTAGTCAGACTAAGGGGCCAAAGCCAGGTTTGCTAGAGAAATTGTTTGGACACTCAGTGCTTGAAACTCAAGGTAAAGAGGCAAGAAACAGAGTAAGAAGCTGCAGGACTGAAGGGGCAGGAATGGTGAGTGGCCTATTAGTTGCCAAGAAGCAAGTCATGTGGACACTGGGGCCAGGGGAGCCCATGTGTCAAATGGTAAGGACAGAGTTGCTGAAATAGTCAGAAAACATTGTCACACAGAGAAACAGGGGCTAGTCCTTCACTGCAGTGGCCCAGGGCTCCCTGAGGCAGCCCTCCTGGCCCAAGAGGTCCTGTGTGCAAAACCAGCCTGGCTCCTTGCACGAGAGGTCCCTTTAAACCAGTGCTTCTCCCCAACACCGATCCAAGTGTGTGTGTTCTGCCAGCTCCCCCAGGTGACAGCCCAGCCAGTTCTGAAGCTTGTATATTCTTTCTAAAACAAGCCAGTCTAAATTACTCTCAAAACCCCATGGCAGCTTCAGAGAGAGAGAGAGAGAGAGAGAGAGAGAGCGTGCGAGAGAGCGAGCAAGCGCTATATTAAATTCATAACAAAAAGGTAGGTAATATTGTAGAATAAATACTAATAACAGAAATATCAAGAATAATGTCTGCTCTTCATGTACTTATATGTTAGCAGACGCAATGGAACTTTTTAAAAGTTGTCGCTTAAGAAAGTTGCTACGGTAGCCTTGGCAAACTGAACAAGTATGAAGTTTCTTTAGCAGAATCCAGCCTGCAGCCCACCATCTCCCTGAGTTAGGTGTCTGCATTCATAGTGGGGACAGGGCTTTTCAGGGAGACTACGCACTGGTCCACGCACAGAAAATCGGAGGGATAGCTCCCTGGTCTGCAGACTACGTCCCTTCTGCTTGCCGACCACCTCATCATACTTGGCAGTTATGTCTCCCCAAGGTGACAGGTCAACTTTGCTGGGACTTCCTTCCACTTTATTTGTGGAGAGTCATAAGTGCTACTGCCAGCCAATGCACCATCCCGCCCCACCGTGGAGCATGCCAGGAGCAGGCTGAAGGCTCATCCCAGAGCTGCTCCCCCCTCCACACCCTGACATCTTGTCCTCACTCCTTTCTGCTGGAGGAAATGGGGGCAGTCTTGAGCTGAAGGATTGCATATCACCCATCACCCTCAGGCCCTCCCCACACTGTCTCCCAGGAAGTAAGCAAGCTACCACCAGGAACACTCTTGTGTTACCACGTTTGGTGTCCACACTTAAATATCCATTAGAACCGTCAGCAAGGGACACCTGCTTTACAAAAGAGTCACCTGTGGCTTTTCTTGTCTGTCTCCTACTTCTCTTTCCTGCACCAGGGTCTTTGCCATGTGTAGAAGGAGCCAGTGGCCTTAGACCTCATGCTGCCAGGGCCTTGCCTTACAGCATGGCTTGTCTCCTGCTCGTCCTCTGAGCCTGCACACATTTGCCCTTTGAACTCGCACAATCCCTTGGTCTTTTGGAGCTGATGCTGGCCACTAAATTCCATTCCCCTCATCTGACCTTCTGGGAACCCCAAGTTCTTGCAATTTCTGACTTCTGTGCCTCTCCTTCATCACCAGCCACCCAGCTGGGGTCCCAGCCAGTACTAGGTGCCTAAGACTGAAGACCCTGCACTTTTTGAGGATAGAAACAGCATCTTCATCTTCCTGTCCCCACTCCAGGTCTCGCACAGAGTAGGGACTTCTTAGATGTTGATGGACTTAAACTGAATTGGTCTGGATTAAATATTCGCATGGTATCTTGCAGTGCTCTGCCAACTGTGGTAAAGGGACGCGGAAGCGAACTGTGACGTGCACCAACTCACAAGGGAAATGCGATGCATCCACAAGGCCGAAAGCCGAGGAGGCATGTGAGGACTACTCAGGCTGCTATGAGTGGAAGACGGGGGACTGGTCTAAGGTGAGGACGGCGCTCTGACATTCCCCTCCTGCTGCAACAGTGCAGGAGCTCAGTGTCCCATTGGGCCCAGTTCTACAGGGGTTCCAATCTAATCATGCAGATTCCCAACTCTGCACCTGCCAGTGGCCCTGCGTGCATCCTGCCTGCTGCTCCTGCAGGTGGATCAGCTCTCTGGACTGGCTGGGAGCACCCACTGCTTTGTGAGCCTTTGGAAGGAAAATGAATACAGCAAAATGTGGGTGCTCTGTCACCAGCCGGGCCGCCCTTTTCAGCATTCTGGCTGTGCCCCAGCATCCTGCTACGGGCCTGGCCTCACAGCCTTCTGTCACAAGAGCCTTACAAATGTGTGGGAGGCTGGGTCGAAGCAGACACATAGGGGATACTTGGGCAAATGTCACTTCCATTCATTTCCAGGACCTTTGGGCACCAGCCTACAGGACACCAGGGCAGATAGGACAGGGGACAAGGAAGTTCAACAGAGATTGAATGTTTTTCTGAGTGAAAAAGTCTTTGGTGTTTAACCCTTCATTAATTCTTTCCCCTGGTATCTTTGAATGACTCCCATTTACTGGAGACTGATGTCAGCATAAGAACCTTCCAGTAGGTTTTCTTTTCACAGCAACCATACGATGTCTAAGGCTAGCTCAGAATATATTTATTCTTTTTAAATATTTCCTTGTGGTCTTAGCAACTGAAAAATATCTACTTGCTTCCCTGGGTCCCTCTTCATTCAAAGGTTGCTGACTGGTGACTGAAGAAGCTGTTGGTGTTTGTTTGGCTTGTGTAATATTATAACCAGTTTGGAATTAGAAGCTAACATTTAAAAATGGAGAAATTTCACCTGTAAAATTTCAGTATGAAAATCTGGCACAGGGCCCCCGGTCAGTTCTGCTTTGTGGAAGGGAGAATGGTTTGTTCATTGTGAAGCAAAACTTCTCAGAATCCAATCCCTTGTAGAAATGCCACCACCTCCCTGCCCAACACAAGTCAGAAAACAAAGCCCTCCAAACACTTCAAGTGCAAACAAATAAAGTCAAATATCTTAGGTCCCAGTTTACCTGCTGTGCTAAAATGTCACCTCTAGATAACTGAATCTGGAGACTCAAAACACCTGCTTCCTATTTATTCCCTGTTCAAAAGACCTGACCAAGCAATAGAATCAAGGCCAACAGTCTAGCTTCCCCAAAACAAACGCAGATGTCACACAGCGACATGGATGTAGATAGTGCTCATTAAGAAGCTTCCAGAACAAACCTTACGCTGGAGGAAAAACTTGACTCCAAGGCTTTCACAAAAGATACATGTGCTCTGGGCCTTGAGAACCAGAGTCATGGGATAGAGACATTGAGGTCTGGCATGTAACTCTGTTCCACTTGAACTTCATAACCTCTCTGGCCCTCAGTATCTTTATCTCCAAGATGGAATTCATGAAGCCTAGTTCTGCCTGTTTCTCAGAGTTATTCAGAAGTTCCAGGGTGCTGGGATAAGTGACTAAGCCCTTTCATAACTAAGCTCATTTCCCTACCTCGAATCTCACCCAGTGTTCACACTGCTGTGGGCACAGTTCCCAGAACTAACCTGTTTTGATCTGACTCCAGTTTGTCTTGATTCCTTTTATAGAATGATCCTGAGAAATGTTCTCTATCCAAGCACATCTGGACCCAGCTTGAATCAAATGGGCAAATGAGAAGTGGTCAAGTCCTAGCCTGGGCCACAAATGCCCATCCTGGGTTGGGATATTGGGCATTTGTTTCTTCTGTGCCTCATGCTACCATTCCTTTCCATCCAGAGTTGTCACTCCTGTTGTACAGAAGAGGAAACAGAGGCTCAGAGTGGTTAAACCACTTGCCCACACTCCTCTGGCAGAGCCCCTATTCCTGGATCCCTACTCAGTGCTCAAAACACATGTGAGAAACAGAACAAGAAGGGCTCTGGGAGTCCCAGGGTTGGTGCCTCTGAGCCTCGGGGAGCCCTGCAGATGGTTGTCGGCCAGCCAATGCCTGAGCTTCTCCAGCTGAACCCCTCTGGGTTTGAGGACTAGGGAGACACTTGTTTTCTTAAGTACTTTGAACATCCTGGTGTAAGCAGCAGCCAGACACCAGAGGGTGAATGGAAATAGCACATGCAAAGCGCAGCCCAGTCTGCTGGGAGCTCATGCACTGCAGGGCTCCCTCCCCAGTTGTGCTCTGCGTTAAGAACAAGGAGGAGCCATGGGATGTCAAGACCTCCCCCACATCTTGGCCACTTAGATGGGGCTGTCATCCGATGGGCTGGGCGTATGCTGAGCACAGTGTGTGCGTGGAAGCCAGCTGTTCCATCCCAGCCAGCAGCAGGTCTGGCCAGAGCAGTGGCTCAGCTTAGAGTGGTGCTGTTGAGCAGCCACCCAGAGCCAGTGCTCAGGGAGGGAAACTTGGTTCTGCTGTGCAGAAGAGAACTGCAAGGGATGCGCGGCTGGAAGTCTGTGTGTGTGGTATGCAGGGAGCGAGCTGGCAGGGGTGGGGGCATAGAAGCCCACCAAGAGACCCCCACCCCAACTGTCCACCCCCTCCCTTCTGCTGCCATCACTGGGATGGGGTGGGGAGTTTGCCCTCGGTCTTTCTCTCCTCCCTGGGGGGCCCCGGATCCTCACTCCTGTTGGCTGTGGAGGCCAGTAGGAGCAGATTTCATGGGATGCATCTTGCCCTGGCGCTTTTGCTCATTCGGACTATTTGGATCTGCTCTCAGGTTTCCGATCTTCTCTGCTGTCCAATTTTGCAGATGGTGTCACTGTTGTGCTCATGGGGTCCTCTGTGTTTGTAAACAATTGCCACAGACCAACATCCAAACCTCCATTCATACCAGACTCTGAAGATAGCTAACGTACTCCCTAAAAGGAAAGTAGATAGAAGGCTGGTGCACGGAGCCATCACAGTGTCCTTGTATCTGGGAATGTTTATCCCATCCTCATGGCCATGAGGAAACCAGGTCAAGCAGCCAGTGCAGAAAGTGTTGGGCCAGACAGGTGCCCAGCAGACTGTGCCGTGATGGAGGGAGCTTAGAAGGTCTGCTTTCCAGCCAGGGAAGCTTTGACACCTCCCATCCAAGCACCCTCTTGTCACTTTGCCCCATAGTGCTATTGAGAAAGATGAGCTTGTTTCCGGGAGGTGATGTGCAGGCCAGTCCAGGCCCATGCACGGGAACCATTCTACCTGGGTGAGAGCTTTTGGGAACAGCAGAGCTCCTCAGTGCTCAGAGCCATGGTGAGGCAGGCTAGGCTCCCAGGGACTATGTGGCTCCTCCCTGGAATCCTGAGCCCAGCTAATAGTCAAACCCTAACTAGTGGCTCATAGGAGGGTCACACTTCATAGTCCCACAACGGCTGAGGGCATTACAATTATTCTGGGTGTTTGGAAAATGACCTGCAGCTGCCTGCCCTCCAAGGATGTTAGCACTTTTCAGAAAACAATGCAAATCATTGTTTGCAGCCACTGAATGGGTCTATGTATTCTACCCGGGTGGTGGTTGGGAGTTAAACTGAAAGAGGAGGAAAATTCATTTCTTTCTAGAAGAGCGTGACTTCTAATCAAAAGTCAAAATGTCTCAGATCTAAGACCAGAAACATTTGTCACCATTGAATTGATGAGATTTTTTTCCCCATGAGAAATAAACTATTCCAGAGGAATTATAATGGGATGATGTTTTTAAAGAAAATTGTTGATTCTCTGTGTTAAGAATTTGTGCTTCCCGGTTTGAACAGATCAAAATGGCCATTGATCTCCTGGTGTCAGTGGAGGTCTGGGGAAGGGGCTGGTCTGACAAGCCCTCGAGGCCTCATCTGACTCCAGCTTCTTTCTCTCTGTAAGACAGAGATAACAGTAACTCCCAGAGGCCTTGAGAAGATCAAATGACCCAATATGTGTGCAAGTACCTGTGAGCCCTGAGAGGAGGTCAGAGAGGGCTGATCCCTCTTCTAGATCAAAGAAATGCTGTTACAGCCTGTGACATTTGCCATTGCTTTAGAATTTACTAAGCACTTTCACCCATATGATCCACTTGACCCTCACAACTGTCTCTTACCATTTTGCAAATGAGGAAACTAAGGCTCAGAGTGGTGATGTGGCTTTTTTCCCCAGGGTCACACAACTAAAAATTGGTGTGCCTTCTGGTTTGTAATTCAGTTTTCTTTCAATGCACAATGTCAGAAGGTTATCTGAATTTGAAGCAAGAAACTGAACAATAAGATGGCTTCAGCTCTATCAAAGGTAGAGACTCGGCATAAAATCAAGTATCTCCCTGGTCTCCACACCACCCATCCAAACCTACCCCAAAGATTTTGTATCAGTCATTTGCCCTTTAGCACAATTATTGTTTCTATATGAGGAGATCCTGCACATTAAGTCTTCTCTTAATCACGAAATTAAAAGTCAAGTCCTTATTAAAGGAAATTGGTACATCCAAGAGCAAGTCAGGACACTGGGGCCCTCTTCTGGGATGTGGCAAACCATACCATGGAGCCAGGAAGCCAGTCCTCTGCACTGGGACAGAAATAAAGAAATCCTTAAATAGTACCCGTGGGAGCATGAGTCGCTAGTGGGAGAAGGATTATCAAAATTCAGTGCTTTACGGACCGGGGCAGGAGGTGGGAGGACAGGTACCTTTAGTGTGGAATACACATGAGCAAACAGAGCCTGCCACAGTGTTAGGGAAAAGCTGAAGGCCCAGTCACTGCTCAGTTAGGAGAAGTGAGCTTGCTACAGAGTGGTGACGTCTCCAGCAGTTGCCAGGAGACGTGCTGGCATGGCCCAAGGTGGGTGCCAGGGCTGCGCTGCAGAGCTTAAGGCAGATGCCTTTGTCTCCTCGTTCCCCCATCTCCAAGTCCCCAGTGTCCATCCCACCAGATCAGAGTGGGCTCCAGCTTATCCTGACTCTTCTGCACCACAGTCTAGATTCTCATTATAGCCTGGACCTGGCCGTTGTCCCTGAAGAACACTTCTCTTGTGCCACACATTATGTTATTGACT